GATCCCTCAACTCCTCTACAAGATATTTATCCATATGCACTCTATTGTGAACTCTCTCTCTCTCTCATGCACAACTGAGTTATCCCATCCATGTGCATAGAATTTCGTAATTGACTAGGTGGTCTTATCTTATTAGTCGTATGTGTTAAAAGTCTTATGAACAAATAAATGGATATATGTGTTTGTATAACTTGTCTCTGAGTGCATTACTACTGTCACAGTGTCTTGTGGTCTTCCTCCATCTGGAATCTGATCACTTACAAACGCAACCACTTGCAATGTATACTTTCAAAAGAAAGTACCAGCCATTGTGGCTTCTGTGTCAGTCTATCAGGACACAGTGGTGTCATTCTGACATGGCATCGAAGAGGTGCGACCCTCCAGTCACATTCAATTGTCCTTATCCTGTTACCAATGCATTTGAAGTAATTCTTGATAAAAATCCTAAAGGTTTTTGAAAAGTTTTGGGATACTCAGGACATGCAGAGGGAATAGCCAGAGGATAATCAGAGATCTTGCAGTAAGTTCAATAGAGTGCTGGAACTTGTCCATAGTTGGGCAGTCAAATAGGTAGTGTATCAGACCATCTGAACATCACATAATGAACATGTACTGTACCTTCATCTTGGATACCAAGACCTATGTAGGTAGTTGGCAAATGCAGCCATATCCCATAAGGAATTGTATTTCTTCTTGTGTGAGGTTGCAATTTTACAAGTGTTTGACAGTATCAATTCAAGACATGTGATGGCACTAGTATCCACAGCATATCACAGTTGCTGCCAAGCTTCAAGCCTATGGTTGTTGAGTTTAAGTGAGTTCAAAAGAAGAGCAGTGTAGGCACAATCCTCTATCTCATGACAGGCTGCAACTTTCCCAGGGCATCTGCCTTCTCATTGTCTATGAGGCCTTGATGTCCCCTTACCAAGAGGAGGACAAATTCATTCATCCTATTTGCAATAGGATGTGCATTCCTGCTACCAGTGAAGATCTGAATAGAGGTGGCAGAGTCAGTACACAACTTCAATTGAGGAAAAATTTTTATGACATCACTCAAAAGCATAAAGAAGTGCACATAATTATGCTTGAAAGGCAGAACAGACCTGCTTCAGGTGCATCTATTTAAATGTGATTTCTTTGCTACTTTGATATACAACAAAAACACTGTCCACTCCACTGTCAGACTTAGACCCATCTGTGTACATGTCAAGGTCTAGGTATATATGGTTAGCTTACCACAAGAGGCAGAGTTTCTGGATGAAGCACTGCCTTTCAAGCTGAAGATTGCAGAGACCAGATGGGAAAACAGGAGAATGAATGTCTTTTTGAAGAAGCTGTTTCAAGGTTATGGTCTTTATGCACAGTGCAAACAAGTAGGTACAAGTTGGCAATTATTTAAACAATGTATTAATAAACTTTACTCCTCACTAGCAGACGAGGTCACTCTGACTAAGAGTCTTCAGCAGACCTAAGACAGTCATTCCAGAGTAGAACAGTACATCCAAATACAGTCCAACTATACCACCAATGCAAGGTTGTGCTCTACACAGACGGGTCCAAAATAAATGATAAAATTGGTTGTAGCTTTGTCGCTTATGAGGACAATAAGGAAATACATCACAATTGCTACCATTTAGATCAGGTTTGTACCATTTTCCAGGCAGAGCTCATGGCCATACGCATGGCAATTGCTTGGACTGTTGAGAATTACTCGCATACCTCTATACACCAATACACTGACTGCCTCTCTGCCTGTAGTGTTATCATAAGCAATAAACTCCACCACCTTGCCTGTGAGATTAGGGAGCTCATCGACAACTCCAGCAACACTTACAGTATCTCTTGAACCCGTGCCCATCAGGGAACAACAGGGAATGAGAGAGCAGATCTGTTAGCCAAATCTGCGGCCACTAGAGATTCTGCTTCCATTGTCTACCACAGGATATGCAGGCGAAGTCTTTGTCACCTACTGTGAAACAAGTGCCTGCAAACTTGGCAGGAAAACTGAAACCACAATAATCAAATCTTAACTTACAAATTCATCCCTAACATCCAACAGTTCTTCTCCCTAAATTTGTTTTCTCCCAGCACAACACAGTTTATCACTAACAATGGTAATTTCGCCTCATACCTCTTCAGGTTCACCAACAGTGGCACTAATCTGCCACTGTTGGTGAACCTCTGCCATCTGCCAAGTTGAAGCCAACAGTAGTCATTATATATATGAATGTGTAGCATTAGAGAAAGAAAGATTAGAGATAAAACTTCTTGTAGAAGAACTGGGCTTCAACTGGCCCTGTAATTATAGTGACTTCCTGACACAAAAGAGACTTATTTGGCCTTCACCAGGCTCGCTAGGAAGTTTGCTGAGCTATCCCTGATTTCGGGTAACAACTGATTTGTCAAATTCATTTTGGATTTATGCCTTATGTATCATCAGCAATCTTGGCTCTGCAACTACAAAACTTAATTGTCATGCTTTTTGATTCACGCTCATCACTTCACTGTAATTGTTGTGCTAACTCCTTTAAAATATAATTTAATATATAGTTTTATGATTAACTAGCTGTTACCCGCAACTTAGTGTGTTACCTATCCCTTCTTAGTGTGCATTCTCATGGCATACCCTACTACAACACAGATAAAAACAAAAAATCGCATCTAAAATAGTACAGTAGAAGCTGTTCTTCTGGTTAAGCCTTAATGCTCTCCCTCTCCCCCCATGGGGGAATTTTGAAAAATCCCTTTTTAGTGTGCGTTTTCATGATGTACTCTGTGTACCAAATTTCACCTCTTTAGGTTCAGTGGTTTGCTCTGGGTGATGATGAATCAGTGACTCAGTCAGTCAGGACAAGTAATTTTATATATTTAGATAACTTACTTTAACTGAAGCGTTAAAACTTATACATTTTATTGTCATCTTAAGTTCGCTATTAAACCTATCTGTCGTGATTATATTTTTTTCTGTTATTTACCACCAATTTATTTATTATAAAATGTATTTTCACTTTAGTAGTTATATTTTTATATAACATAAACATATTTGTAGCCATTGTAATTGTTTTGTTCTTACTCTATGTCCCTTCACTGTAATTGTTACGCTATCTTCTAGAAACCATATTGTTAGTTTTGTTTATATCGATATACGGTAATATAACTGACGCATTGAAATGTAGCCATCTTATTGTAATCTTAGTTCGCTAATTTAACCTAATTGTCGCAATTATATTGCATTTTCTGTTATTTACTAAACAATTTATTGAATATAATATGTATTTGCTCACTTTGTATGGTTTCTAATTCTACATAACATGTATATATTTATATCCATTGTAAACATATTCTGTACTTGCACTATGTATGCCCTGGTAATGCCATATGTGGGACCAGGCATGTACTAAATGTACCTTAATAAAGATATTGTAAGACTGTATACCACCAATGAAAACCAATGTACTGCAACAAAGAGATAATACAAATGTCTAACAGCCCAAATGCCTCTTCCCTTACAAGAAGATTTGGAAATCGGGCAATGCTACATGTTAAAACAAACTTGTGCAAACTGCCAAGGAATATGAGTACCAGAGGCAGACAGAACATCCTCCAATTTTTATTTCCTCCAGAGTATAACCTCCCAAGTAAGTCCCAAGACTAAACCAATACCTGACAAACTCTTGTTATACCCTCATATATGTGGAAAACCTGGCCACTTCTCCTGGAATGGTCCAAAACAGATGTGAAATTAGTCCAACCCATTGCAAATTTGCCACTGGCAGAGGGAAAAAGGGAAGGAAGAATTTATCCTGTAAGAAATCTTTAAACTAGAAAGGAGGCCAAGAAGGGAGGCTCAGTCCTCAACAATTAGAAAACTCTCACATGTGGGATTTTTGTTTAGGAGACATACTTATATTAATAGAGCTATGTCACTTAACAGCAATGAATTTAACAGATAAATTTACAAATTATATATAAAAAATCTTTTTAACAGAATATATATTTTAAAATAAAATTAATAATAAATAATAATAATAATAATAATAGACAAAACTGCGTCAAACAGCTGGTTAGATTGGGGATACATGTTTGGGGAGATGGAAGGATTCATGATCGCCATACAGGATCAGGTCATAAATACTAAAAACTACAGAAAACACATACTCAAAGATACAACACTCACAAATGACACATGCAGAAAATGTCACATCATGCCAGAAACTATACAACACATCACTTCTGGTTGCAAGCTCTTGGCACAGACAGATTACTTACATAGACACAATCAAGTAGCAAATATAATACACCAAGAGCTTGCAAAGAAACACAACTTGGTAGACATTTACGAACCATACTACAAGTATATTGCACAGACAGTATTGGAAAACTACACGCATAAAATGTACTACGACAGAGCCATAATCACAGATGAAACAATTTACCACAACAGACCAGACATCACTCTGACAAACACAATAAAATCACATACATTATAGACATAGCCATTCCAAACACTCACAATGTACAAAACACTGCACTGAAAAAATTAGCAAGTACACAGAACTCGCCCAGGAAATAAGGCATCTGTGGAGGATGGATAGGGTAGTTATTGTACCTGTCGTTCTCTCCTGTACAGGTGTGATACCACACACACTACACAAAAGCCTGGGAACATTACAATTGAGTAGAAATACATACATCACACTACAGAAGGCCACTATATTGAATACATGTCATATTGTTAGGAAATTCCTGAATACTGACACTGACACTGACACACTTATTTAATTTTAGTTTTGTTTTGGTTGCTATGCCTTGACTTTGGTCCGACATAGTACACAGCCACCGGTGTGAACAGAGTATAATTCACAAAACATAACAACAAGAATAATAATATAGCCAATTTTTCAAGAAGAGAGTTGAAATATGTAATAAATGTATATACAATAGAATAAATCAATTTTTCATCATAGATCAAATTTATAAATTTACATTTCAAACATTACCTCTTTCTCCTTTAGTCGACGTTGTTCTTCTTCATATTCCTTTTGCATTAATGCTCTTTCCTCTTCTAAACGTTTTTCTTCCTCCTGTTCTTCCAAAAGTTTTCGTTCCCTTTGTTCTCTTTCTTTTTGTCGTTTTTCTTCTATTTGTTGCTTTACTTCTCGTTGGCAGTCAAGTGCTTTCTGACGACGTTCTTGAATTATGGCCGCATCATCAGGATGCACATGTAATCCTTGTCCTCTTAGAAATATCCTTAAATAATAAACTATTTATTTTATTTCTAATTTTTGTTGCAGAAATTTTCTTAGTTATAATTAATAAAATATTGCCATTTGATATCCTCTAAAATTGTTTTGCAATCTATTTTCTTTGATAAATTTCAGTTCCTTATTGATTATTATACACCAATCTGGTCGATGGCTGCCCCCCTCTCTTTTGGAAAAAATCATGAAAGAACTAAATAAAATATATTTCACCTTAAATAAATTCTATAATCTACATTTTACTAGTCACCCTAACATTGCTAGGTCCAGATTGGAACTTCTCTTATTTACTTATCATGTAAAATATTTTGATTAATTGCTATATTATTGCTACTACAATGGATACGTAATGTCCAATTGGCTTAGATTAAGCATTCCCTGATGTAATTTTTGTAATTTTTTCATTCAAATATACACCATATTTTAGATTATCTCTGTCTCAAACATTAATCTTTTTACCACACTTCAAAAAATGTAGGTAGTTCCAAACACTTACTATAGGTTGATTACTACCGTTTCAAAAATGCAATTTCTTTTATTAATAATTTTATACCTTTTTACTTATTGTATTTTATTTTGTTGTACTTTATTTGCTACTTTTTAAGTACAAGTATCCCTCATATAACAGTAGATAGGTTCCAAAAGAATGCCATTGTGAGCAGTCGGGAGCTCAGGGGGTGATCCCTGATGACTACTTAATCGGCATGGGTTCATAAGACCCGCTCTCATTGTCAAGTTAGGAGAGCTTGAAGAATCGAGTGGGGAGGTGTGAGTAAGTCGATAAGGTGTCTGTTAAAGAATTATAGAGATCCACAGGTTCAACAAAACAACAAATATGTAATATCAACTAAAATTAGAATACATGAGTTTACAAAGTTAAATATGGCAATATCGCATTGTCAGTTACAAAGATCTATTCACAACAAACTTATAGAAGCAGCCGATAAGCGTCATGCTCTACTTAACCTAGCATTCTGGGAGTGACCAGAGAGAGAGTTTACAAATAGTCTAAAATAATACCTCATAGACCAATGATTCGCAATCTCATTGTAGAGGACATCAGTGAAACACACCTGGATCAGTGGAGTTAGCCAGTATTCTTCCTTTCATTCAGGTCAGGATCATCCTGGCAGAGAGACAGCAATTATGGCGGGAAGACAAGGGTGGTGAGACAGGTCTGGTGGCAAGACGGGTCTAGTGTCCACGGTTGATGTCTGCCCGGAGGACTGTGTCCAAGCCCTTTTTATACCTGTTTTTGGGAGAGCTGACTAATGCTATGTATGATGTAACCTGTTCTAAGTTTGATTTGTGTCCGGGTGTTGTTTATGTTAATTGTCAGAAATCAAACATTTTGACAAATTTATTACCTCTTTCTATCCGGTATGATTACTCATTCTACCTCATAATTTTGATAACAGCTGTCAAACAAATTGAATTAATTGCTGGAGGTGACTAAGGTCAGAGTTTGTCTTGCAGCCTAATAATTGTTACTTTGTATGATCATCTGATCGGCTTTATCAGTTTTAAAATCGGATGAAATAGGAAGTGTATGGGTTTTGTTATCCTTTCCCCATTTAACCTTTTGATCTCTGATTTCTACATCAAAATAAATAATTCTTAATTTATTTAATTATTATTATTTCTAATTATTCTCTTTGTTTTTTCCTCCCCTCTTTGGATGTCACACCATGTTATGCAAATCCATGCTATATGAAATGAAGGACTAATGCAAAACAGAGTTATGTTCCAGAAGTTAGCAAAAGTATATTATTTTTTCCGTCACTAAGAGAAATATGTTTATTAAACCAATCAATAATTAATTAACAATAACAATTAAAAGTACTGTATTACGCATTAATATTAATTTTACTTAAATGAGGGTGTTTTCTTTTTACAAAGTATTGTTGTCATCTCAGCTTTTTTGTTGATCTTGATAAAAAGTATAAGCAACATTTTCGTATTTTTTTACTTTCATCATAAAAATTTTTTATAGATGAGAAAATAAAAATGCTATTAACTGGGAATTTGTTTTAGCAAGTTGTGTTTGTTCAGTCGAGTATTAAGCAACGTCTTTCCAGAATTTATATTTGAACAGTGGCGTGCCATGACATTTGATGATAGGGAAGCTGTGTTTCTGTAAGAACTTCCAGGGAAAATCAGTTAATTCTTTAAATGTATTTTTAATAGATTATTTATCTGACGTAATTAATAAATAAACAAGTTCAATATAATTACCTCCGTTATTAGATTCAATAGATTCCCTATGCCCTCTAAATGCCAATTCTTGCTTTGATAAAAACATATAACATCTATTAATTTAAATATATCTATTAGCCATAACTATCTCGTTATAATTTTCAATATTTATTTTATATTATTTACTAATGTTAAATTCTATTCCGCTTCGATTTCCAAATTGCTTCAAATACGAAAGAATCGACGATTTTTCGTGTCTTTTGCCAGCTAAATTGTCAAAGCCATTCTTATTCCACACACTAATTTCATTTGAAAATAGTAGGCAAGCCAACAAAACAATTTTTGCATTTTTATGCATTTACAGAGCCATTTTATCGTGAAAATGTCGAACAAATTTTTTTATTGAAGCGTTTATATTTAACTTAGGCATTGGCCTTTCTCTTTTAATAATGTTTTCTTTTTCATTATATGATCTCGAGCCAAAACTTTTTTAAAATAAATTTTCAATATCGCAATTACATTCCGAATCGCTAGCCACGATATAAGGGCTAAAATTAAAAATAAAATTATAAAAACTTACTTGGTGAAATAAAATGTGTGGTGGATATACATATCTGGTACAAAATATTCTTCAATTGTATGAATATACTTTTAAAGAAAATTATAATTAAATATAGCTTTGTAAAGAAACGTGCATAAAAATAACATAAAATCTTCTTTACTTTTTAAATCTTAACCACTTAGTCAAATAGCTCTCTACGAGTGGAATCAGAGACGGTCCTGCTAGGTGTGCAGTGCATGCATACACAGAGGCTGCCAAATCCTGAGGGTGCCGATACCAATTTAATTAATTAATTAATGTCAAATGCCTCTTTTGTTGCATCACTAGTATATCTCAAAGGACGTGACAGGGTTGTTGTAAATTTTAAACGTTTCTCACCATAGTTGTAAAAATCTAAATATGTTAAACTTAATAGTCATTTGTTTTAATTCATTTTAGGACAGGTGTCCACGGAAATTTCCAAACTTTACAACTTTTTGGTCACTCTCATTGAACTGGAAAAATTTCTGTTTATATTACGTCTAATATTACAAAGAAATCAGTCCCCACTGTACTTGGCTAGAGATTGGGTCGATTAAACTTTTAAGTAATATTCCAGCTCTTTCAGCAAGGTTTCATTTATGTCCCTAATTTCCTAATCTCTTAATTATTTAACTACTTCTTAAGTAGAAATAAGTTGAAACTGGTTACTTTGTACTCGAATATTTGTAGTCTTGGGAAAAAAGTGGAAAGACAAATTTTTATGACATTTAATACATAAATCGTAAATTTAAGGAAAATAAATTCTAGAGCTTTTTCTATACCTTGTGCATCTCTCTCATTCATTAAATTTAGTTGTAAATGATGCTACCAAAGTAACAGTTAATTTTTTAACATTGTACAAGAAGTACACGTTTTTTTCTACATCCCCTTGTAGATGGGACATACGAAATCGTAATATCACTGGTTTAACATTGAAATCTGTAAGTAATATAAGATGGGAGAGCGGAACAAAAGCAGAATAAATATATTAAATATTTTAATGGATTTTTTTTAACTTCTGTCAACTATAGAGAACTATTATAAAAACATACCAGTAAATTCTTATTGGTTGGGGTAAGTTATAAAACTACTCATGATTCACATAATAGGGCAAGGGCGACCAAATATCTAGTGGGCAGGCAGCTAACAGTCCAGAACCGGTCCTGGATAGAATTGGAAGCGTTATATGTGTAGCATCCATCGAAGGTCCTAGGCTTCCACCAGCTAAACCGAGTGAGGTTGGTGCTCTGTAAAGCGCATGTGCGAATCTGGCTGTTTGGAAGCTGACAATACAGTGCTTCCACTCTGCCACTACAGTAATATTCGAATATACAATAGCAATCTTATCTTTTTTTTCACGTGTAGTACAGAAATTTGTAATAAGATACATAATGCAGTTATAATAAAATATTGTACGATTATTTTCATATAATTAAAATTAATATGTATTTATTTTTTAGAAAATACAAGGGAAATGGCACTTCCACCGCTTCCAATGATGACACGCTACTGTATTTGAATACAAAATTGTTCGAGTTTTGAGATACTGCCATATTTCACTCATCATTTTTACAAATGAAGTAATCATTCGTAGATATGTAATAACTACAGTTAAAAAAGTTTAATACCACTTATCTAAAAATGTTTAAATAAACTTTACTAAATACAAAGATTAATCTATAAAAAGAAAAGATAGTGACAGGCTACTCTGAAAGCAACAACAATGACACCTGGTTGATAGAAAGGCTAGTGCATTTTTTTCTTTTTTGTCCAAAGTTTTCATTAAAGTAAATCTGAAGAAAAGCACAANGAATATACTTTTAAAGAAAATTATAATTAAATATAGCTTTGTAAAGAAACGTGCATAAAAATAACATAAAATCTTCTTTACTTTTTAAATCTTAACCACTTAGTCAAATAGCTCTCTACGAGTGGAATCAGAGACGGTCCTGCTAGGTGTGCAGTGCATGCATACACAGAGGCTGCCAAATCCTGAGGGTGCCGATACCAATTTAATTAATTAATTAATGTCAAATGCCTCTTTTGTTGCATCACTAGTATATCTCAAAGGACGTGACAGGGTTGTTGTAAATTTTAAACGTTTCTCACCATAGTTGTAAAAATCTAAATATGTTAAACTTAATAGTCATTTGTTTTAATTCATTTTAGGACAGGTGTCCACGGAAATTTCCAAACTTTACAACTTTTTG